GTCACAAGCTGCTGCCCCTTCCTCAGCCACCAGCCCCTAGAGCTCCAGTCCCTCCCCCCTTCCGTGCCCCACTTGCCCTTACTCATGGGCTGAGTCCGCCCAACAGCAGGGCAACGCCGCCCCGCTCTCTCCGGGGAAGGGAGCAGACGATTCCCCATGCCCCGCGTGGCGGTTGCTGGCATTGCATTCTCCTCGCGGAGTCCGTTAGAACCGTTTCCTGGCAACGGCAACACCCTCCCCTCCCCTCCCCCACGTGAGTGGACAGCTCGGGAGTGCCTGCAAATCCTCCCTTACCCCCCACGCCAGGAGGTGACGCCCCGCCCTGCCCTGCCCTATGTCCCTGAGCGCTGACCCACGGGGAGCGGCCTCTTTGGCTGCATGACACTGCGCTGAGCCTCCCTTCCTCTGTCTGAGCCTGACACTTGTGGGCTGGGGCTGCAGCACTGACTCTGTCCACCCACCTTGTTTGGCTGCTGGGGGGAGCTGGGGCTGCGGGATGCAATCAGGAATGGCTGGAGGAGGCCAACACAACGTAGGGCCCCAAATTCCTCTGTGTTTCCTGCGCCAGTGTAGGCACAACTCCTGGGTTCTCTTCCCAGCTCTGTCACCGACCTCTGGGGCACTCACGTTTTTCATCTGGGCATGGGTGACTCGTGGTAGCACTGGAGGAGTGGGGGTATTACCTTGCCCTGCCAACATTTTTATCACCAAGTGAGGTGTCCACCACATGCCCCCTCCTAGCCCTTGTGGGTGGCTCTCCCAGCACCCTCCTCCTCTGCAAATCTGGGGATAATGATACTGACCTATCTATAAGGCACTTAGAGCCCTGTATGGCTCCAAAATTTGTATCTGTATCTGCATATATAAGCTATGGATATGCACAGATTTGCAGGACTGTACTTGGAAGTATAGGGCTGCAAAGCACTATACTGTGCAAGCACTAAATATGTTATCATACATCTCTCTCTGTTAAGCATTTGGCACACAAACTCTTTGTATCACCCACTTGTCACTCTGCATGTTTGTTTCCTTCCCTTGCCTGCTGTGCTGCCCATGTACAGCCTTTCCAAACACCAAAAAGTGTGACTAAAATTTGATGCTCCAAGAAAAGCAATTGTTATCATTACCATACTGAAGCAGAATTGATTTGAAACTGTCACAGTAATACTGCCACTCCAAGTGATCAAAACTCAAGAGCTAGCTCCTATCTCCCAAAATTTCAATAGATTGGTTTAAAAATCATGAGGTTTTAGGAAATACATTTATTGATTCCTTTTTATTTGCCCTCAGGTTCTTGAGGTTTTAAGGTTTGTGGTTCTAAGTGGCTTTTTCTTCCCCCCATCCCCAATTATGAGGCTAGACAGCTGCTTTAAAAAATGGAGTGTCCTGAATGCTCATATGACTCCTGAAGCTGAAACTTTTAAGAAAACATCATACATTAATCATTTGGGCAACTTTGTTTCCTTGCCTAACTTGTTTATAACATTGTTAAACACGATCCATCCTGTTTTTCAGACTTAGGGTATAGAATCATAGAGCTGGAAGAGATCTCAGGAGGTCATCAAGTCCAGCCCCCTGCCCAAGGCAGGACCAATCCCAACTAAATCATCCCAGCCAAGGCTTTGTCAAGCTGAGACTTAAAATCCTCTAGGAATAGAGATTCCACCTCCTCCCTAGGGGTGTGTCTAGACTACAGGGTTTTGTCGACAAAAGTGGACTTTTGTCGACAAAACTATACCTGTGTCCACACTACCGCTGAGTTCTGTCGACATAACGTCGACAGAACTCAGCAGTTTTGTCGACGCTGGTAAACCTCATTCTACGAGGCATAACGCCTTCTGTCGACAGAGTTTCTGTTGACAGAAGGTGTTATTGCATGTAAACTGTCCTTTGCGTCCACACGACCATGCTTTCGGAAGAAGCTTTTTTTGGAAGAACTCTTCTGGAAAAGCTTCTTCCGAAAGAAGCCTGCAGTCTAGACGTACCCTAGGTGACCCATTCCAGTGCTTCACCACTCTCCTAGTGAAATAGTTTTTCCTAATATCCAACCTAGACCTCTCCCACTGTTAACTTGATACCATTGCTCCTTGTTCTGCCATCCATCACTACTATGAACAGCCTTTCTCCATTCTCTTTGGAACCTCCCTTCAGGAAGTTGAAGGCTGCTATCAAATCCCCCCTCACTCTTCTCTTCCGAAGACTAAACAAACCAAATCCCTTAGTCTCTCCTCATAGGTCATGTACTTCAGTCCCCTAATCATTTTGGTCACCCTCCACTGAACCGTCTCCAATGCGACCACATCCTTTGTATAGTGGGAAGGCTAGAACTGGACACAGTACTCCAGATGTGGCCTTACCAGAGCTGAATAAAGGGGAATTATCACTTTTCTGGATCTGCTGGCAATGCTCCTCCTAATGCACCCTAATATGCCATTAGCCCTCTTGGCTACAAAGACACACTGTTGACTCATATCCAGCTTCTCATCCATTGTAATCCCCAGGTCCTTTTCTGCAGAACTGCTATTTAGCCATTCGGTCCCCAGCCTGTAACAATGCTTGGGATTCTTCCATCCCAAGTGCAGGACTCTACATTTGTCCTTGTTGAACCTCATCAGATTTCTTTTGGCCCAATCCTCTAATCTGTTCAGGTCACTCTGGACCCTATCCCTGCCCTCCAGTGTATCTACCTCTCCCCCTAGCTTAGGGTATGTCTACACTACAAAGTTAGTTCGAACTAACAGACGTTAGTTCGAACTAACTTTAATAGGCGCTACACTAGCGCTCCGCTAGTTCGAATTTGAATCGAACTAGCGGAGCGCTTAGTTCGAACTAGGTAAACCTCATTTTACGAGGATTAAGCCTAGTTCGAACTAGCTAGTTCGAATTAAGGGGTGTGTAGTCCCTTAATTCGAACTAGTGGGAGGCTAGCCCTCCCCAGGTTTCCCTGGTGGCCACTCTGGCCAACACCAGGGAAACTC